TCAGGTCTTTATTCCTACCTCCTTTGTCTTCAAAGCCACTGTGAGCACTGCCCTTAAAGGGCCCCTGATCTCGGGGGGGGGGGGGATTCCATTGGCTTATTTTTCTTTGCTATCCCTGTGTGCCCTGGACCTCATGTCACAGAGAAATACTCCTTTTCGGTGAGGCTGAAGTGGCTGGACAGGACCCCAGGAGCCGTAGCACGGATGAACGGGAGACTGGGTCACTGGATTTACAGCCCTCCCTGCAAGCTGCTAGAGTCCTTGGGCTGGTTTGTTGTTGAGTTTTGCTTCTTTTAAGTGATGGTCTCAAATTTGCTCTGATTCAGTACAGCTGCAAAGCCTCCGGGCTTCCAGATTTCATCTCTGCCAATCCCTCACACTTGACGGCCCAGAGTGGCATGGGTTCTGCTCTCTCCCTGCCTCTCCCCATACCCAAGCCTGCAGGTAACACCCAGCTGATGCTGGGAGAGATGTGACCAGTGAAAGAACCTACTTGACTCTGGGCAACAGCAGATCCTGCCCTCATGCATGACAGCTCGACTAAAGCTTCTCATGTAGTTTTCGGGTCTTCTCTGAATAGCCGAGTCTCATTAGGCTGTCACCAACCACGGAACCCATGAAGACATTCAGAGTGTTGGGGTGCAGTCTTAGAAGTAAATAACCATCTTCCCACGAAGTGCCCATGCAGTTGCTGGTGAGTGCACACCGGGAGCACTTTGGACCTGCAGCCCGTGGGTCAGAGGGTCTCCTGCCCAGCAGCCCCTGGCTGTTCTGGGGAATTATGGCTGTTATAAGAAGTACTTGGGTTTTTAAACTCAGTGCCCCGTTTGCCTGGTTTGCGGCCTTTAGCCACTACATTAGTGGCCTACTGAGGCAGTCTGTGTGACCCTGAACTTCCTGGGAAGAGGCAAGAATAATACTGAGAGCTCTGAAATAAGCAGGATCATTCCTGGCATTCATACCAGCACAGTGACCAAATGCTGCCCTCACTGCATGAAGCGAGCGATGTTAGTGATCTGCCCAAATGTTTCACAAGGGCCCGAAAGGCATGATTTTGAATACTTTTTGCACAGCTATCTCCTTATGGAATGCGTCCTCTGAAATGCTCACATTAGGACATGGCCTTTCCTCGAGGCCTGCTGTGTGTTGCTTTCTGCGACTAGCTTTGCAGACATCGTCTTTAAGCTTCTAGTAGCCTTGTTTTGTATAAGATGAAATTGGAGCTCCCTGAGATTCAGTAACTTCCCTAAGCTGAAAACACTCTGCCAAGGCCTTTTGGAAATTGACATAAGCAAATGAGATGAATGAATCGCATGAAAAATAATTTGGAAGCTCCTGAATGTGGTTGGGGTTGGTGACCCCGGAATTCCCATGCACAAAACAACTCTTTCAATAGGCTTGTCTGACAGACTCAATATGCAGTTTGTCCAGACTCACTAGTGAAAGGAACTTCAAGAAATGTAAGTTGGCCCGTGGAACCTAGCCAAGTGCAAAGAGTATTGCCTTCCCTGGCTTTGTTCTAACATCCTACACCAGAGCAAGCCCATGGCCTCCCTGTGCAATGTGGGTGTAGAGGCAGAATCTGTCAGTGGGATTCAAAGTCGTGGGCTCCACAATGCACATAAGATGCCTGTCCTCACTGGGTCCCCTCCCAATGCAGGTAAGTTCTTGACAGAGTAGGTTCTCCTTGCTTAATTAAGGGTAGAAGGTGAGCAGAGAAATTTTACCCAGCTTCTGAGCATTCTCTGCTGTTGTTTACTTTTTAAACTCTAGCATATTTTCCAAGGAAAACTGTACATATCTTTTTAACTTGGTCATGAAATTCTTTGTCATGTTACATAATGACTATATAATAATCTGTGGAAAGTAGAGTAAGTTTTCCTTTTTTTTTTTTTTTTTGCCATGAGATGCAAGGAGAACACCTTATTCCCTGGCTCAGATGGGGTACATAAAGTAAGTCCTCCTTTAGAGTGACCATCCTGGGGCATGCCCATCAGGGGCACGGTCTGGTTCTTGTAGGGGCAGAATGGTCAAGTTTCAGGATTTTGTGAGCTGATTGAAATTGGCCATGGTAGCAATATTTACACCATGGAAATCAGCAAATGCTATCCACCCCCCCACCAAACCAGTTGATAAAGATGTACCAGCACGCCTGTCTTCCACCCACCGCTCTGTGCTGGCCTCAGACACCCAGGAAAGGAGCTTGCCCCTTCTCTGCGCACCTGCGAGGCTCACATCCCCTCGCATCCTGACATTGAAAAGTGGTGGAAATGGGAGTTTTGACCAAATTAATGGCCTCGGGCATTGGCAAGAGGGGCCACCTTTAGGGTGGCCTTGGGGTTTGAAACTATTTGACTCACTGTGATCTGAGTCCAGAGGGCTCAGAAACAGAGGTGAGAAGGAAGGCTCTGGGACGGATGTGGGATACGGGACTGCCTTTCTGCAGCGAGCTTGTCCTGAGCAGGCAGCAGCTGAACTAGGGATTGATTTTAAAGTCAGCTCACCGTTTGCCTTGATCTGTAGTGCTCAGTCCTAACACGGTTAGGAGCCAGGCACTGTGCCCCATTTTGGGGAGACCAGGCTGAAGGACTTCTTGTGACTACAGCAGTGCTCTGTGTCCTATGCAGTGACCAGTCATGACATTGGCTCTTGGGCACCTGAGATATTGCCAGTACAACTGAAGAACTGAATTTGCAATTGTAATTAATCTGAATTTGAATTTCATTAGCCACTCGTGGCTGGTGGGTACTGCACTGGACCGAGCAGCTAAGGGCTTATAGGAAGAATACTGATGGCAGCCTGTGTGCTGGGAGTGTGGAGGGTACATTCATCACACTGGACTCAGATGTGGGGCTGCTAAGTGTTCCCCAAACCCCAGCATCTTTGACCAGCCAGACCAATCAATACTCATGCCACCGCAGATCTCAACCCATTCAGATGCACCTGGCACTGGGCTGACTGCATTGGAGGGTCACTCCACGTCCTCCTCTCCTTCCATCTGTAGGATGAATGATGATCTCCCACACTTACAGGTGAAGCAGTGGGGCACAGAGGGGTGTAGCCCTTGCCCCACATCCTTGGAGTCAGAATTCCCACCTAAAGATGTCTCAGTAAGTGCAGGAGCACTGTGTCGCCTGGCAGGGTTGCAGAGAACTCAGAGGATCCCATTTAAAACAAATCTCTACAGTTGTTCAAATAGTGTCAGGAGCCTGTAGCTCAACATGGTTCTCCTTTCCTGGGGTGTTCGTGGGTGTTCAGCCTTGGCAGGGTTTTAGTTCGGCACCTACCCTGGTGAGCATACACATTTATTTAGCATATGCGTTTGGCTTTATACCATTCAGTGACTTTTTTTTTTCCCCCCCAGCGAGTAATGTTGATGTCTTCCTATTTTGCTGTCTGATTTCAGTCTCTACAAGCTGTATCAAAGTCTGATCTGGTCCCTGTTTGGACTTTTAATTCTTCTGTGGGATTGTGGTCTCCTGATCGACCAATCCCTTGTAGACCCACCTGAGTGTGTTGTTCCGGGATGTGTACGTATTCAAGTCCAAATGACTGAAATGGGATGAAAATGGAAATGTACACCCAAGACTGAAAGAGGCCTTTTGAAAACATTCTGTAATGTTAGGTTACCACTGATGGCCAGCAGCTGAACACCACTGACTGGAAACGATACTCTGTGTGGGGGGGTTGAGTTATTGGGGATCAACTCCTCTTGTAGATGGGCCACCTGCACTATGCTGGAGAAGCTGGAAACCAGGGTCCAGAGCCCGCACCGGGCACCTTGCCACTGGAGCCAGGGCCTAAGCCTCACCGGCTGCCTTGGACTGTGGAGACTGTTTCTTCCCCCTTGTTTGCAATAGGCAAACACTGTATAACTGAACCACAGAAGTCCTCTTGAGGAAACTTCTGTTTACCGATGGTTTGCTGCCCTGACGATGCATTTCTTGGCTTCCCTTCATACTGGCTGCTAGCTCACTTCACCAGGGGTAGGACCCCAGGGTGGGGAACTAACCCCATGAGGTAGTAGGGCCCTCCCTCAGATCCCACCTCCAGATCACGGGCTGCTGCAGGGAATCCAGACAGTGTCAAGGGGAAATGGGAAACAAAACCTGGCAGTCAAGACGAAGGCCAGTAAGCCGTGTGCACTGTTTCGAGAAGCTTGGAACTAGAGTACTCCTGGCACCCTAGTTTCAGCGAAGCACACTGCCAGGCCCCCCCCTTGAGGGGCTCAAGGCTAGTATCCTACCATTAGGTCATTTGCTTTTAAATTTGCTGCTGCACAATTTTAAGTTCAAAAGATGGGAAACACAGTTTAGCAATCTGTTACCAAGGCTGGACGGTGTTGGCTGCCGACTGGAAATGTTCCGTCTGTAGCCCAGCTCCACACATGAGACCCTCGGGAGGAAAGGTACTGTCTCCTAATCACACACAGAGAGGGCTTGCCTGAGGGTATGCAATGCTTCTAGGAGCTCCATGGCGGGACAGAGAAACACATCCTCTATTGTGCGAAACCTTGTACGGTCCTGAATATCTATGTTATTCTAATGATTTAATATAACCAAGTTAGCATCTGCTTTGCAGAATGCCATTTCAATTCTTTCTTTTCTCTTCCGAAATATTCCTAAGAGGCGAGTGGTTTCTTACTTAGATATTTTGGGCTGGCGTACCTATTATACTTCATATCCTAAACCTTTCGTCCTAGGGCATACAAAGTTAAGACACATCAATTCATGCATTCAAAAGAGAGGTATAGGACTTGAATTCCAGGCCAGGCAGATGAATGCCAACCACCAAGTAAATCTTTACGGTGAGTATGCAATGAAGCCTAGCCTTATAAAGTAAATTGGGACCCCACTGAGCTTGCGCTGCCCTTGGACTATCTCACCTGTTCACAGAAATGCTGGCATTAGTCTTCCTACGCATCTGGTCATTGGAGGCTACGGAGGGACCCTGGGGGTGGTGAGCCCGCCCAGCTTCATGAGAAACGTGGGCATACATACCCTTCCCGATGGGCCTCTCCTTTCTCCAACTCCTGAATGACCCCCAAGAGCACTTTGATGGTTTCTTGGCTGGAGCTGATCAGGTCCTCCATCACCTGCAGCTGTGCTTTCAGATCGACGACTTCCGTGTGAGGCACGATTTGTCGGCATTCTTCACCCACAGCGGCAGCCGGGGGACAAGGCTGGCTCTCCTCCCCCGGCGGGGCTCGAGTCTGTGGGGGCTGCTCGCTACATTCGGGGGACAGGCACTGCATCGGGGGCGAGCAGGCCGCCTCGGGGCCCTGGGGGCCCTGGAGCGCATTGAGACGCGAGGCTCTCCTCCGCTCCTGGTCGGCCGCTGGGCACAGGGGCCACTCGCTCGTGGCGGCAGAGTTTGACAAGGCAGCCTCGGGGGCCTTTGCGCTGGAGGCAGGTGCATAAACAGTGGCCACCTCGGTTTTAAATACGGTCCCGTGGGCCGACAGAGCGGCTTCCTCGGTGTCCGGTGTCGTCCTGTCGTGCTTTGCTTTTCCGTGCAGCTGGTAATCAGGCTCCTGGAAGGGAGGCCGGGCGGAGTTTTGGAGAGGCTCATTTCGGCAGCTGTGCACGTCAGGGTTTCTGCATGGCTCTGCACAGTTGACCCCGGCAGGCTGGTCCAGCGCGTTCATGTGTTCATCAGAGTGGAAAACCAAGGCTGCCGTCCTGTGCACCCGGCCGGCACCGCACGGCTGGGCCTCCTCCCCGGGTCCTTCCTCGAGCTTCTCTTTCGCATCCGCTGCAAACCCATTGTTTTGACTTTTAAAGGCATCCCCAGGGGGGATGCTTTTGAGATTGCCTTTCTTGCGGTCCAGAGGGAACGTCTGGTAACACTTTTTCAGGTCTGGCGAGGTCTGCACGCCTGTGCTCTTGGTGACATTGGGGATGGACCTCCGAGCGGGCACGGTCATGTACTTGCGGTAGGCTGCCCTGTAGGACACGGGCTTGGCCTCCCGCTTCTCACCCCGCTGTCCCGCCGAGAGCTGCGTGTCCCTCTGCTCATTCTGCGCCTCGCAGATATCCTTAAATCGCACCTGGAGGGCTTTATTCCGTTTTTTAATCTGCCGGTTGGGATCCAGGGCATACTTCATCTCCAGGGCCAGGCCGGCGGCAGGCTCCACCTCACTCTCTGATGTCGTGAGTACACATTTGCCGCTTTCCTTACTGACCATGATTCCTGCGTTCAGAAACATCAACACAGGCGTCAGTGAAATAGAAACACACATGCGAACCCACAGGCAGCACAAACTTCGAGCGAACGTTACTACTGCCTGCTTCCTAATTATTTTTAAACAGGTGAGGTTGGCCTTTATGTTAAGGAAAATCAGACAGGCGGAGAATTGCTGGCAGGCACAGCTTGAAATGCTTCTCAGATATTAAAGCCTGCTTGCTTTTCCATGTGGGATACACTCGTTTCTTTTGATAGTAATGCATGTTTCCCCATTAGACAAACCTGTTTTACTATATTCATCAAGAAGCCCAACGACGCTGCCTCTTCCGCTTTGCAAATTATCATTTCACATACACGTCCCCACTTCATAGGCAGATGGTTTTCCAAATGCATCTTACTCGGTTTGGGTTTTTACTAGTTTTTGAGGATGACGTGATTAATCTATTATTGGAATCCAAGAGAATTGCTGTTTTACTTATTGGTGATTCTAGGTCCTGATCAGATAAATATGGAGAGCCCTGCATGAGGGACTGAGATAAATGCATTTGTCTTAGCCATTACGGATGTCATGGGACAGCAGGGCATACGGCTCGATGGGAGGACTGGAAAGGATTAATCTTTGTGGTGTGGCTTTCTTCTAATGGGTTAACACTAGCCCTTGAGAGAACATGGGTTTCCCTGCATCTATCACTCTTTTCTTTGCATTCTATGGACAGTGGTATTTGAAAATACTTTTTTTTTAAAGAAATTATTCATTCTAGAATCAAGTTTTGTGTTTTGATCACAACCTCTGAAAATGAAAACAATGGTGGTTGTTTCAGTATTTGAATCCTGAAAGAAAATAAAATCACAAGGCTTTATGTTAATCATGCAAATTCATCTTGGGCTGAATTATTAAATGCATCTAAAAAGGTGCAGGTGGCCGATGATCCCTCTGGGGAATACCAGTGGGGTAAATGCCTTCACTTTATCAGGCAGATTCACAGCTGCTCATTGCACGTGGAAGAATTTTCTTGCGGGCTGAACTTAAAGGAAGAAAATATAGTTATGTTGCTTGTGAGTTAGTGTTTGAGAAGAAGATAGTTAGATGGGAGGGACTGGGGTGTGCAGGGGCCTGGCACTGGAGCTTCCTGTCCAGAGAGGCAAGGTCACAGGCATGAGCTAGCTGAACAGGAACAAGCCTAGGCTGCACTGCCCAGTCCACCCGTCGACAGACCTTCGGGCTGTCCTGGGAGGAGCCCATGGACCCAGGACTGAAACCTCCAGGAGTACTTCTCCGGACTGCTACAAGGAACTGGGTGACTGGTGGCGGCCACTCCAGATGTCAGTGAGTGTGTGGGCCACCAGGAGCTCCGCTGATGTGTGAAGGCTGTACCTAACACCTTCAGTGCCATGCAGCCCATTTGAAGGAGCAAAGTGGGGTTCAGAGAGGTGATGTCCCTTGTTAATATCACACAGCAAGTAGGACATACAGGCAGGAGCAGGATCCTGATCTCCCTGATGCCTGAGTTCGTGCTGTTTCTCATAATGTCAGATGTCCAACAAACAGGCAAGACACCTCCCCATATCCTTAGTTCTTACTGGGTTAAGATTGCAGGCCAGTGGGCATGGTGGTCCGGTGAAGGAAAAAAGTGGGGAGAAGCCCAGAGCCCCCATGTGAGAGTGTGTTCTAGAACTTCCTCTCCCTGCAGTCCAGGGACCCCGTTAGCCTGGCCTCTCGTCACAGGCCAGCATGGTGCTGGCGCTTTGCAGGTCTCCACTAGAGTTCCTGAACAAAAGACTTAAGAGAGAACTGAATTATTTCATCACTTATGCCATGACCATGAATGTGCAATCTTGTTGGAGGACAGCAATCAGCTCTGCAGAATTTGGTTTAGGTCAGAGGGCCAGGATTTCTCAGCCTTGGCACTCCAGGCATTTTGGGCTGGCTGACCGTTTGCTCTCCTGTGCATGGAGAAATGTTTAACAGCATCCCAACTTCTACCTGCTAGATGTAAGGAGCATCCCCCCAGTGTGCCAGCTAGAAATGTCTCCAGACATTGCCAGATGGCCATGGGGGTCGGGGAGGGGCACAGCCATCCACGGGGAAGAACCACCACACTAGACCTTTCATCTTGGGTGGCTGGAGTGTGTCCCTGAAAGGGAAGGCCTGGGAGAGCAGAGCGAATAGCCAGGAATAGATGGTATGTCCAGGCACCCGGGGGGCATGGGTGGTCGGGAAGGTGCCTGTTCTGAAGGGCTGATCTGGAAACGCCCCAGCTCTGTGCTGAGCCAGGAGGGAGCCCCATCCTCATGCCACTGTGTACAGCTGTGTGTCTGTCCTCTGACAAAAGAATTAGTCCCAATGGTCGCTCTCGTAGGTAGTCTGGAGAAGACAGAGAAGCAGCCTTCTTTGGCTTTTAGAGCTTTCCTGGGTGCTGAGGATAGCTGGAGGCCTTTGTAATTTGGAACTGGAAACACTGGGCAGTTTTGGAGAGACCAGGAAAGGAAAGGAACAGACTGGAGCCGTATCATCTCTTGGCTCTGTGTTGGGAGGACTAGATTCTGGAGAGTGGGTGAGATAGAACATGCCTGCTAAGGAGATATAATATATATCTTTCACAGACACTTATCCCAACAGGTTAAAATGATGCACACAAAAGGACGTGGTGTGGGGAGGGTATGGGGGACGTGGGGGCATAATGAGAAAATTAAATCTTAACTCTCCTCTCTCATAATCATTCTTGAACTGCCTTTGTTGTCCAGCTATGCCAGACGATATTGTGCCATCATTCTGCAGAAGACCTTCCTACCAAGGAAAATTTGAAAGGGAGAGCATTTTTACAAAAAGCAATTTACTAGTAATTTTTCAGCCTTTTCCCTGCCACTCCTGAAAAATGTGCGTCTGAATAAGTTTGTCCTACCATGCTATTCATCATCGTGATTTGCCAGGAACTGCACTGAAATAATTTTCTTACATCAGTCTGCTGGTTTGGAAAGATATTCTGAATCTTGGACTCAACCATCAAACTAATAAAACAAATCAGAAAAATTAATTGCCAGTGGCAAAATAATAATAATAAAGCAATTCTAAGCTCTTCTCTGTTTTACAGGGAGTTACTAAGTATATAAAAATCATTTTCTTATTAGTAAAAATGATGGTGATACTTAGAGGATTTTTTTTCCTCAGGGTAGTCTGCTGGTGAATTCGTTTCTCAAGTAGTAGAAAGTGAATTGTCCTCATTCCACTGATAAGAAGGACGTCAAGGGATTCTTGTAGTTGACTTATTTGGACTTCAGATGGAGATCTGCGCTCCTTTTGGTGGCTGGGTGGCATTTTCTAAAACTGTAGAATGGAATTTTCCTGGACATTAGGAATTACTTTCCTATTAAATGGTTATACCTTTCCAGGGTATTCACTTACTGTTTATTGGGGTGGGGGGGGCTGGTAGTGATTATTAAGAAAATGGTTTTGTCATGAAAGGAAATGGGTATTCGAACAGAAGAGGTCCCACAAGTCAAACCTTCCGGCTCCCTTCATTCATCCATCATCCCTTCACGCATTCATTCAGCAAATGAGTGTGCATATGTTACAGTGTGATGTCAACGTGCAGTCCATACGTACTTCTGTTCCTCACCAAATGCCAGCGTCCTCGGCGCTGCACTTGGATTTCCTCCTTGACCCCCAGGACAGCCTCACAGGGGAGGCACTCTTGCCAGCCTCAAGCTGCAGATTGAGAAATTGAGGCTCCAGATTTTTTTTTTTTTTTTTTTTGTAATTTGCTGGGAGTCACGCAGCTCGAGGGCCACTCCCTGCATCCCTCTAAATCCCAGGCACTGAACCCCTCCCTTGCCCAGGGAAACCTGTAGCCTGCAGGCTGCAGGCTGTGCCTTGTAATGAACGTCAGAAGGCATCCAACGCTGGAACTCGTCTGAGCAATTTCCTTGGCCTGTTTGTCACGAGGTATCTGGGTGCAGGTTATGCAGAGCACCTGGGCATAGACTTAGTGAGGGCTGTTGGGAGTGCTGGACCCCTCCGGAAGCCACAGTGGCATTTTCAGGGACGGCTCGCCTTGGCCTTGTCACCTCCGAGGACCATGGGCTCTGGTTCTTGGAGTTAATCTCTTGGCTCCAAAGCAGCAGGAGTTCATAAAGTTTATTTTTCATACGAAAATGGTGTTTTGGAATTCATTGGACTGTGCCGTCTTGAGGTGAATCTGGCGAGTCATGGTGGAGCGCGTCTGGCTTGGGGAGAGCTGGTGTCGAGAAGCTGTTTGGAATGCAAATGTCCTAATTACCCTCCAATTAAAGTGTATAATCAAATGTGAGTTGTAAATATATAAACCCTGTATTTTTAGATTAGTGATGGAGAGTCCTGTCTGCGTGCTGCTTTAAATTAATAGCTTATATAAAAATGTTCTTTCCAGCTTAAAGGAGTGAAAAATGGAAGCAACTAAATACCCAACAATAGGTAAATGGTTAAGTAAATGATGGTGTACATACATCCAGTGTGGCCATTAAAATGATAATTATAAAGATTATTTAGTATCATAGAAAAACACTTATGAAATCATGTTAAGTGAAAGAAAACAGTCTCCCAAATTGTACTGGAAGGAAATGAACCCACATGGTCATCATTGTGGTATTAAGATAGTGCTTTTAGGGAGATTTATCTTCCCTTCTGTTTTCCGGTTTTTGTTGGGGGAGCTGCGATATTATTGTTTGCCAATTAAAAAAAAACTACAGGGCAAAGTCAGGTCATGCCTTAGGCAGGATGACAGATCAGGCCGCTAGAAAGTATAAACACTTGGATCAGAAGAAGAAAAACCCAGAAATGATTAGATTTGGGTACACGCCATCTCCCAAAGGTCATCTTTTATTGTTTTGAGGACACTTTGAATAAAGAAAGAAAATGAATTTCAGAGGGTTGATGGTGTTTGCGTGTGTAGCATATATGCCGACATGTACGTGTCTTTGCGTACACACGTGTACATACATGTGCACCAGGGGCCTAGGAGAAGG